AGGACTGACTGTTATTCACAGAATACATCTCTGGTTTCTATGTCACAAACTTTCACATACACTCACACCATCAATTTAGTCTAAAAACACAAAGCATTCCCAGTATAAATTACAAGTGAATAAGGCTACATGATCTGCTTAGTTACTGAACAAATGAATTCTAGTTAACTGGCATCTGTATGGTTGAATGGCTACATTCAGCAAACTCTTATTTGATCACATTCTTTAGTTTCTTGACAAAGAAAAAAGACCAGGTGAGGAGTAAATAGAACCCTGAGGATTGCATCTAAAAATCAATATGACCAAAACAAGTAAATGACGAAGATGTGATTGTGTCATGTGCATTCATCTTCCTGGTTTCAAATATGAGTTTGGTGACAGTTGCAATGGGAAAATATACAGGTAGGGAGACCTTAGTGGTTGATTGTGATGTCCAGCTACAAATGTTAGGGGTTTACATCTAATTGCAGAAGTTTAGGACCATACACAAGCTATCTGGGTGGTTAGGCATCAGGTTATAAATATTTATATTTACAAGAGGGGAATAACTAGAAACCATTTGATTCAGTTTTTCCAGTAGCCTCAAGTATGTTATATCCACTATGTCAACAATGGTGAGCTCTGATAGTATAGAAACTAAGTGCAACAATGATAATGTGGTTACATAGGTTTAATCCTTACAGATAGGTGTCAGTAGCATTCCTTTCTATGCTTGGAAATAGTCACTGCTACATCAAGGATATAATCAACTATCAATATTTGATTAAAGAAAAAGTCAAATTATAGTATCAAAGTATGCAGCAGCCATGACATACATTATGGCATGGAGATATATCAAGTATAAATAATCTTTATGCTCTAAAGGTTTGCTCCCACCATCAACATAGTGGACATGATGGAAAGACAGCAGGACAAGAATTGGAAGGAAAATCAAATCTCCTCCATGTTTTTTTTAAAGCTGGCACACATTTCCAAAGGCAACCTATACACAAAACAATAAAAGACAAAATTCAATAAAATACATCAAGCCACCAAAAAATATGAACAGGACATGCCTACAATGACATACAGTACACCGTAATTGATATATACTGTATCTCGGGTTGTCGTTGAAATTTAGGAAACACGTGCAAACCAAGAGACATTAAAAAATAAAGAAAGAAATGTCTACATAAACCATCTTATAGGTGTAATTTTTACAGTTTTTACATTAATTTGCATAAAGGATAAGGATACAACAGATGTCAAGTATGCACTATTTTGTAACCTACAGTAGTGCTTGGCTTGACTTGTGTGTTTCCTTGACACTGAGAAAACATCTCCAATTCTCTCATAGTTCAAAAGGTTAAGAGAATTTAGAAGAATGCTTCACTGGGCAAGTCATGGCAAGCATGTTTCCCTGTATAAATTCTACATCTAGAAATGATTAATGTGCTCACAGAAAAAATATTAATTAATGGAAAGACAATAATATTAAAAATTTAAACAATATATCACTCCTCAATGATATACTGTACTTAACATTGATAATTGGCTGATTTCTCAATATAATAATTATAAACCTTGGTCCTCGGGCTAAAATCTTCTGAACAATCACAAATTACAGGGGCAAAATAAATCCGGGGTGGGGGGGGGGGGCAATCCCTTAAATCTCTTCTGTCCATTCATTTTGTTGAAGAGAATGAAATAATCTTTCAGTGTATAAAACCTCAATTTTCATTTTGGAATGCATGATAAAGTCTACAATATGTGTATTCTAGATAATAACATTAAAATATAAATGACACACTTTATATTTGCTGCTGCTGAGTATCATTGTCTTGTCAAGTCTTTACCTTAGCCTCTTTAAATCTTGCTCTCCATTTGTGCAAACTAGACAAACCTAACTCTTCCACCTCTACCTGAAAATGCTAATTTTTCACATATCTGTTTCAGTTCGTGCTACACTTGTGTTGGTCATCAGATGCAATATTAAGAAGCAGAGGCAAAGGGCATCTATGTTCCTTTGGTCACTTACATTATATGCTACCTGTACAATGGACGAGTTGACGGTCGGAATTTTTTCGTAAGATGGCAGGTCAATGGATAAAGAAAACGCTTAAATTCACTATGGTAATGACATTTTTAAATAAATTGGGCCAAAAAGTGTCAAAAATAAGGGTTAAAATTGATAAAAAGTCACGTGACTGCGAAAAGCTCTGTGATGGTTGTGATGTCACTGGCTGGGACGAGCCGCTCAGCAGGAGGCAGCCAGCTGTGGTGTATGTGTTGTCACCAGCAGAAATACAGGACTTGTGGCCATATACAATGTTCAAGCAAAGAACAAAGAGTCGTTGGTGCTTCGTACCAATGTGCAAGAGTACCGACAAGTCCTCACCAGGCAAAATATTCATCACAGGACTGAAGGATAGAAGGTAAGAAAGAGATGGTGGCTTGCTGCTCGACGGCACTTCCCCATGTCAGAATACTGCATCTACTGTTGTGAAGATCATTTTGATGTGGGTATTAAGTTGATATACACAGGTATACCTTATTTTTAGGTTAAAATAAATTACTGCTCAATTATCATCGTGTGTATTTACTTGCTGGGTGCCAAAATGATGCAAAAGACCGATAACTCCAACATGGAAGTTTTCATCCCTGTTCTCCATTTCATGTCTGGAAAATGTAAGTTTTCGCCACTGATGTCTATATTTAATGTTGTGGAAGGACTAGGGACGACCATGGCCAGGGAATGGGTTTGAGATGATCAGATGACAAATGTAATTTATCGTGCTTCATAGCTGGATGGCGGAGTTCTTGATCATAAAGACATCTACTTTTGGTAAATTTCTTTCATCTGCCTTGATGAACCCTTGACGTAGTTGTCCAACCTTCTCGGTTGATCAGCTCTATAAATAAATATTATTAGATAATTAATTGTGCTTTACTGTGCAACACAGTAATGCTACGAGTATATTGAATACTGTACTGTATATAAATATTACTAAGCACAAACTAATTCAATGGATATTAGCTGCCCCTACTACAAATTTTATAGTATAAACATTCCCAAAAATATTGCTATTATTTTGGTTTTAGTCATCTGGGGAACCTTAAGATTCTAACTATGGGATTAAGTACAGTACTTTAAACAATAAGATACATTATCTCTACGGGATTTCTGTCGCAAAACATTTTTCGATCGCATAAGAAAATACAGGTCATATGTTAGGTCAGGGTATGACGAGTTACAAGGTTAGCTTAACATACATCGGTAAGGGGAGGGGGGGTAGTAACTCAAAACTAGTGATTTCCAATAGAAATGAAGGTCAAAATCGTTCATAAGACATCGCAAACCATCAGAAAAGATACATAATCTGCATGTCTATGTACAGGGATGACCAAAACTTAAAATTTACCCAATATAGCCTATCTCGAATCTAAGCATCCCAATACTTACACTCAAGGTAGTTAAAGGGAAGTAAAATTTGACCCATTAATTAATATAAATTATGATATATCCCAGTGGTTCATTAGCGAATATAAAAAAAATAACAGCACTATGTTGTCATGTTTACCTAGCATCAGGCATTCTCAAAACTAAGTCCAGACAATGTCATTACTTCTCAATTGACTCGTATCTCCATCCGTGCGTCGTAGGGAAGGTGGTGACATCATTGCAAATGGCGGCCCTGTTTCTAGAGAAATAAACTTATCTCGACTATTATAGCAGGAATTTAAACTTTTATTTCAAATTCTATATACAGTATCACTCTACGAACGTGGCAGAGTGTATTTCTTAACATAAGAACATAAGAATGGAGGAAACTGCAGCGGGCCTATTGGCCCATACTGGGCAGTCCCGTTTACACCCAACCCCTATTGCTCATATGAGCATCCAACCTATGTTTGAAGCAATTCAGCGTATTCGAGTTAATGATGATATTTGGTAACTTGTTCCATTCATCCACTACTCTGTTTCCAAACCAGTGTTTACCTATTTCACGCCTAAATCTAAATTTGTCTAATTTAAAACCATTGTTACGAGTTCGCTCCTGGTTGGATAATTTGAGTACCTTTGTAATGTCCCTTTTGTTTAGCCCTGCCTTCCACTTATACACCTCTATCAGGTCGCCCCTCGCTCTACGTCTCTCAAGGGAGTGCAAATTAAGATGCTTTAACCTGTCTCTATACTCAAGGTTCCTAATGCCCGGGATTAGTCTTGTCATTCTCCTCTGAATTCTTTCCAAGGATTCTATATCCATTCTGTAATACGGTGACCAGAACTGAACTGCGTAATCCAGGTGTGGTCTCACAAGAGCAAGATACAGTTTTAGGATGACCTCGCTAGTCTTGTAACTAACACTCCTTTGTATGAACCCAAGTACTTTATTAGCCTTGTTACGAGCAAAAACACATTGTTTACTTGGCTTAAGGTTCCTACTTATCATTACTCCTAAATCTCTCTCGCAGTCGGATTTCTCTATGGCATCGTTGTTCATCTGGTATCTGGTTTCCCTGTTTACATCTCCTATACTGAGTACTTTACATTTGTCGACGTTGAATTTCATCTGCCATTTTTCAGACCATTCGAAAAATTTGTTTAGATCTTCCTGTAGTTTTGCCGAGTCCTCGTCAGATTTGATAACACGTCCTATTTTAGTGTCATCAGCAAATTTACTTATGTTGCTGTCTATGCCGATATCTATGTCGTTTATGTATATAATAAACAATAATGGTCCAAGTACTGAGTCTTGGGGAACTCCACTTGTGACGTTGCTCCAATGGGACTTAGTGCCGTTAATGCTCACTCGCTGTTTCCTGTCCTGTAACCACGCCCTAATCCATTTAAGGATGTCACCTTTGATGCCATGAGCTTCTACCTTTCTAATTAGTCTTTCGTGGAGAATCTGTCGAAGGCTTTACTAAAGTTGAGATATACCACATCATAATTGTGCCCCTCGTCCACCGATTCGAAAACTGATGAAAAGAATGTTAATAGATTAGTTAGGCAAGAACGTCCGCTTGTGAAGCCATGCTGGGAATCATTGATCAATCGGTGCTTCTCCAGGTGATTTCGAATAGTGTGTGAAATGATTGCTTCTTGCGTCTTGTGTTTACCCAGAACCGTCAACTCGTCCATTTGTGCCTTCTTCAAAGAAGAGTAGGTGTCTAACAAAGAACATTTACACTGCAAAACATTCCTATCACTTATACTCTCTTAAAATCTTGATGGAAATCATCCACAACTTATGTTTAGAGCATGCTGCTTTGGTGCCTCATGTTAGGAAATAAATACAAAAATAACCAAAACCACAACTCTTGCACACTTCACTGACCATTTTCTTTACAATAACTTTTCAAGCTTATTTACAAATCTGCAGTACAGAATAGTCCCTTTACACTGTGTCTAGTGTTTCACCATTATTGATTCTTGCGGTAAGTGTCTTCTACATTTATTCTCATCTTATTAAATGCATCTGTCTTGACAAAATCAACCTTCTTGTACACTACTGATGGAGCCGACGCCCCTACAGGGCCTTTATTAGAAGTTCCTTTCAATGCCTTGGGACTGTGTCGAGCCTCAGGGTCAAGATCCAGATCCAAGTATTGAATTTCATGTTGTGGTCGACATGCATTCTGAAAGGAAAAAAATATCTGAAATAAAGAGAAGTGAACATGCATTAGTTCTTTGACCTTCTGATAGTGGTCAAGTTTTGCATGCAAGAGAGCATGCACAAAAAATATTATGTAAGACAGAATATATTTGATTTTTGGACTCAGGCACTGGTGATATCTGATATTAAAAGATTGGCAACAATTACCCCAGCATCAGACATCCCCCCAGCATCACTGAACAGGGGATAAAAATTCCCTGCAAAGAACATAGTTACCACAGAGGATGACATAATCCCCAATGAAAGCCAAGTGATGAAAGAACCACCAAAAAATAATTTCTGTTTTACAGTACAGTACAGTACATGGCAGATTCTTTTGGCATTACTCTACCTACAACTATAGCGTGTTCACTCAAACTCTGCAAATGAAGCCTTACATTTCACATGCTAATTTTTGCTTGCCCAAGTGTGGAAACTATCAGAGATCAACACAGAAAAGTGATTGTGCCTTAAAACCTCAGAATATACAAATAATAAATTAAATACTGAACAACAGTAGAAACTCTTCATGTGTCCGTTCACCAGCCAATCAGCTGCCTTGCTACAAAAGAAGACCCCCTGTACCCGCAAATTTAAAAATGCGAACTATTACGACTCCACTATGCTGTATAAACAATGTAAGTACAGTCAGTTCTCCTATAACGGGGCAGTAGCATTGCCGAAAAACACGGCTTTATAGAAAAATCACGTTGTAGTAACAATTGGTTTAATAGGAATTAAGGGGTGAGGTAGTAGGAGGTTCGAGAACACCAACATAACTCAAAGTTTCTTTATACTGTACAGTACTTTGTTATATTATTGTTAGTTTGAAATGTGTTCTTTTATAATAAATGTGTTTAAGTTTGATAGTATCAGTTCTCAATAGAATAAAAAGATAAAAAGGAGGAAATATATTTAGTACAGCGTGTTAGTGTACGTTGTTATGCGATAGAAAATGTAACTATGAAGGAGGGCGCAGAACGAAGATCATGAAATAATACGTAGTGGTGTGTGAATCGCTTAAATGCTTTTAATGATAAAAATTTTAGATAAAAAAATTCTAACAATAAGAAATATAAATAAACTTATATAAATATTCCAACCCTCATCACAAGAAGAGAAGATGGTTGTTTGAGAAGTGTGGTGGTGGAGAAGGTGAAGTCAGTCTGATGATGGAGGTGAAGATTAATACAACTTTATCACATCTTGTGTTTGTTCAAGAGTAATAGCTTTTCATTTTACTTCACTTTCTCTTTCACCACTACCAGAATGCTTCACACCCTTGCTGCGCATTGTAATTAAAAGCAATAAAGTTGATATAGTTCTTGTACAGCACTAAATAAAGCACAGTCTGCAATAACACATCTGATGCATATGAAAGATAAACAGACTTTACGGATGGCGCGCTGTCTTGTGTGATACTACGCAGAGGTGATCGCATAGCCGCTTATTCCTACTTGAGTGACAGTTCCATTTACTCAATCACATTACATCCAAATCGCATCTGCATTAGAGAAAAGTGTTTCTCAATACATTTATTTCAACATAAGCAAATTGTGCTATGAAAACACGCGTCATAGAGCGCTGATTGTATAAGATGCATGTAGGATGTGGGCGTATGAAGTTTCCTATGTGCCTAGATAGAGCAAATAAACAACAATGGTAAACAATATGGCAATTTGACCAAGGATAGCTGACAAAGCTGATAAAAGATGCATGATGTTAACAAATTATGCCAGAAGGCCTTAATCATTTCTTCCCTTGTGTATGAAAATTTACAAATTTCTTAAGACAATTTTTGTATTTAGACCTTGTAAATAAATCTGTACCTCCAAGAGATGTATTCAAGAAAGCTAAACAATATGCAAAATGCATATTCAGGAATGAGGTTGTCAAGAGAGGTAAAGAGATTTGTCACAAATAACAAGTTTGGTATAGGTATTAGAAATGAATGATAGTCTGCTATTGAGAGATGATATAATCCAGCCAAATTATTAGGTTAGTACAGTAAGCAATAAAATTAATTTTGCCAGTAAGCAAAAACAGTGACCAATAAAGTGTTCCCCAAAAATGGGCATGTTAGGTGAAATGGTGAGCGAGACAAAACGTGTGCTTAGTGAGAAGGGGAAGCATATTTGTATTTGCATTAGTTATACTGAACTGTATAAATAATAACACAATACAAGTACTGTACTGTATATCATTATAAAAGGACTTCGAGATTTTGTTTTAAATGTTTTTTTGGTTTTCCCAAATCCCTAAGGCCATTACTTCATATTATAAGGTTAACTACTTCCAGAATACCAGTACAAACACGCTCTGTTCTTCCTTCCTCATACTTCCACTGTATTTTCCCATTTCCCTACTCTATAATTTTCCTTATCCCCTTCTTTCACATCACACAATTTTACTCAATTTGTTAAGGCAGTTGACATCAGTTTCACTTCTGTAATATCCAAACTATCAAGCAAAAGTTTTTGGCAAATCTGTGAGCACTGTTCCAGAATCTCTGAACACTCAGGAGTAAAAATATACTGTAGTTATAAATGGTATGCCTGAGTCTACATGAATCATCTTGAATGGAATGCAGGATTTTTTTTTTTTTTTAAGTGTGGTGGAGCACAGCACAAGCATGATAACTGACAAGTGAGTTAATATGAAGTCAACTTACAAATTTCTAGTGTTTATATTCAAGTTTTTAAGAGGAACCACAAAAGTTTCACTAACCTGCTCATCTGCATTTGTAGAGTTCCGTCTACTACCCGGGTTGGACGTGTGGTCTGCTTCGTCACCACTATCATTACCACTGCGGCCATTGCGCAGTGTGGAAGGCGTTGGAGAAGGTGCAGCTCGTTGTTTGCGCTGATCGTGCTTTTTAAGGCGTGTGGGGGCTGGATCTAGTACAAACATATTTTTGGATACAGGTTCTGAAGGGTTCTTAATGGGCTTTAAATTTCTATCAACTACAGGTGGGGCCGATGACGGTGGTGCTGGTGAACCCCCAACAGCTCCAAGTACCTCATGTGAACCACCAGATGGTGGAGGAGACAGTTCTGAGGAACTAAGGTTGCCTCCCTCAGATGTCTTTTTAGGTTTTAGTCCTCGATCAACAGCAGGAGGATAGATTGGACTTTTGTTTGTCTGAGGGATGTTGGAATATAGACCAGCAGGTGATATCCTGGGGTCCTGTTCTGCCTGTTTATCATGAAAATCCTGCAGGCGCATATCATAAGAGAATATCTGGCCTTGCAAGTTCGTTGGAGTAAAATTATTATAGCAATGTCTTTGTTTGGCCCTTTCAGCTGCTTGGGGACTTACAGATTCTGAATATTGTTGTGACCTTACCATAACATGCACTTCTTCATTTATTTCACGAGGTGTTGAAGGAGGAATAGAACTGTTAACAGAAGCTGGAGAAGGTTCAGGATCAGATACTCCAGTAGTAGCCTCATGAACTGCAAGAGAACCTCCTATACCATTCCTGACTTTCTCATTAGAACTGTTCTTTCTCACTAATGAAGTTCTTGTAATTGTATCTAAGTTTTGATATGTTTGCTGGGGGATTTCTGCAAGGTGAGCAGGTTTGGGTGGTCTAGGTGGAGCTGCTGGTACCTGTTGATGATCATCATCTGATATACTAAGACCTCGTATATCACTGGGCAAATTGGCAACACTTATTATAGCCCCTGGTGATAGACCACCCTTAGTTCCTGGACCATCCCACTGTCCATCTTTACAGTAAATATCCCGGGTGACCTGCAATCCACCCACAGGTCTTGTTCCTTCACTAAAGAATTTTGCCTCAACCATGTGAGGAGTAGTACTCCAGTCATCATCACTGAAAACACTGCCTTCTGTTCCTAGTGGTGACTGCACACTCAAAGTATCTTCTGAAGTTGTTCCAGATGGCCTTAACTGTCTATGACTGTCATAAGACTCGCGTGGTATCGCTCCTGTGTTTACTGTAGGGGCAGGAGGTGCTTGAGTAAGGGGAGGTTGACTATCATGGCACATTATAGGTGCTGGAGGGGCCATTTCATTGGGTATACTTGAACGGTGGTTTTCCAAAGACCCTTGAGGTGGTATATCATCACTAAAGGGAAAACTGGAATTTGTGTTAGGTGTTCTTTTCCCTGTGAAACATGTACTAATAGGAATATATGGTCCAGATATAGATGAACCTGGAGAAGATGGTGACAGGGGTGGGGAATCTAGGGCAGGGTGTTCCAGAGGCAAGCTATGGAGAGGAGCTGGGGGTGTAGCAGATGGTGTTGTTGCTGCCAAGTGGTCTAAAGGCAATGGGTACTCATCTTCTTGAGTATAGATCTTGAGACCACAGACATGACACACACAGTCCACCCAACGGTTCATCTCCTGTTCCGTCTCCGCACATAGGTAATAAATTCTCTTGGGAGTCTTGATGTCAAACATGTATTTGTATTCTGACTTCCGATTTGCAAAAGTTATGCCTGCGTCAACCTGTTGGACAAGAGATATTAAAAAATTAGAATTTCAAAATAAATGAAATTTATTCCTCTCTCACTCAATAATTTGGATCAATAGGCAGATAAACCTTAAGGGGAAAAGGGTAATAGTAGAGAAGAGTGATGCAAAAGAAGTGTTGAAAGTGACAAGAAAAGTAGAAACATTCACACATACATACTGTACTTGCCTATTTCAATGACTGATATTAGCACTCGGGTACTGTACTAGAAAAGCTCACACTTTTAACAACTTAAACAAGTTCTAACACCCAAAATTTAATACAACATTTCTTTAATGCCCATTGTCTATAAATCTGAAGATACCTATTAATATATTTATTATCTTCTCATTTCTCCTTCTTTTGTGTAAGGAGGGGGGGAAAATGGGTGGCAGAGGAAATGATAAAGGTGAATGGTGCTGGGTGAGTAAAGAAGGCACTGGAAAGGATTGAAGCAGTACCTAGAAATACCACACTAAAGATACACACTTACTCATATCCATATCTTATAAACAAAGGACTGTACAGTAATGTATATGTTCAGATACACAAAAAATTTCCAAACCTCCACACTGGCTCACTGTCCATACTAAAAGTACAATAATAATGTATCCCTTATTTTAGCCTTTTTATTTCTTTATACTCTACAGTACATCAATACAGTGTACTGTGCTGTATCTTCAAAATTCTGCAGCAAATGTAATGATAAATTATGGTACTTTCTTGGCTCTCATTTTGTATAACAAATCTACAGATAAATGGTGCAATTTGAAAGATTAATATAGCTTATCTAAATCTACAGATAAATGGTGCAATTTGAAAGATTAATATAGCTTATCTAAATAGGAATTAATTCTATAATAACTGTGCTGTACAGTAAAGCCTCGAATAACGATGGTAATGTGTCCTCCAATATTGCAGTGTAAGGTGAATCATCGCATTGCGAATCATTAATTACCATTAAAATAAAGCAATAATAATGGGATGCGTTCCCAAGTGTGACCTTTTCATATCTTTTGTGTGACTTTTTACCCTCTTTTCTCCCCAAAACAATACTACAGTATTAATGAAAAGTGCAAACTATATTCTTTAAATAATGTTTCTGAATGCACCTTATACAATATAAATGAATAATAATATGGTCACACAAAAGGAGATGGGACGCCATTGTTTTTGTTTGTGTTTACTGTACAGCTGGGAGTCAGGGAAGATAATTCTACACGAGAAAATTAAGAAAATAAGATCCTGGTTGTGGCTGTAGTACAATTAATGTAAAAATTTTAATATATATATATATATATATATATATATATATATATATATATATATATATATATATATATATATATATATATATATATATATACAGATGGATTGGCAATGCCAACATATACTTGCACATTTAAGGATGCCGCATCATTTATCTTTTTAAGAATATGTACAAAAGATTCATTATTGCTTATTACTGAATATGTATTTGATTGAATTAATCTTTATACTGTATATGCAAAATGAACAATACAATTCATTAATAATACGTAGAATATTAAAACACACACGAAGAGACAAGACGGCATTGTCTTCGTGAGTGACGATGGTTCTACAGTACATAAAAAAAAAACCGAAGAAAATAAAACCCTGGTTGTAGCTGTATTGAACTTAATTTAAAAAAATTGAATATACCTGTACGTATGTTTTAACCATTTCGACTTATGACCTGGATTTGGGTCCCTAACCCCGTCGTAAGTTGGGGAGGAGCTATATACATCTTTATGTAGACATCGTTTGCGTTTATTTAAATTTTAATGCTTTGTCCTGTTAATGGATCCACTTCAGAAAATATGTTCATTGCTTGCTCCATATAATATCCACAGACCTCTCACCTTTTTCATATCATTTTAACATATCTAGTGTCTAGGCTATGTATATACACTTTCTATTAGCTTTTGAAACAACACTAACATCACTTGCTCATGTTGAACAGGGATGCAAAAATGCTGTAAGAAACCCGAGAAAGTTTTTCTCCTGTTCCTGTTCACATGTGTGAAAACAAACGGACCGCCAAGCCCCGACTGTAGTTTACTGGCGATGCACATTACCACTCATTAGCCAGGCAGCTTCTTTGCGCAAGGCGCTCTTCATCTTTTTTTACATCAACTTTTTTTTATAATACATATCAGGAGTTAGTTTTTATTTACCGGGTATATGGAAATGTAATTTTATTATATTTTTATTATATTTTTGTTATAAATACGAATGAAATAAGGACGTAAATTGAATTGGGTCCTAAATTAACTAGTCTTAAATATGAACAGTTGTTGGTCGAACCGTTGTTATCAGAGGCTTTACTGTAATTGTTTCAACAGTAAAATATAAATAAAAAAATTTGACATGCAATATGAAACCCTGAAAAGACTTCTTAATCCCCTTCATCTTCAATATCATACCTGATGTGTTATGCTAAGTTGGTTTTCTTATCAATACCTTTTAATTTAAAGTGATTCATGAAAGGTTTCTTTTAACATTGAACCTGGATACATTAGTCAACCTTCACCCCTTTCGGCTCGCATCATTCCATCTGCATTTTCATCTGTCTACTGTATATCATAGGCTTCTTACTCACCTGGTCACACTGGTCAAGGTCAATTTTACCCTTCAGCTTACGGCGGGTGCGGTCTGTGTAGTATTCTAAGAAGTACTGACCCGGTAATTCTCCGGATCGCAACACAAACCACCGCATGCGCCATTTCTGCAAATATTTTATCAATTAGCTATACAGTATACTATAGTGTACAGTATCTACTGTATATGGGGAGTCCATGCAAGTATGAAAATTTACCATAAAATAATATGACAATGAGTTGATGTACACTATTGCATAGTTGCCTGCACTTATACTTGGTACTGTACAGTACAATGACTGGCATGTTTTGTGAGATAGGACACCTTTGTGTTTGTTTACATTATATTTACTCCCAGAATGGCCCTCAGGAACCTCTACACAAAATGCACCAGGCAACTGCACATTACATTAGCAGCTTAATATTCTTTGTCTATTCATTGGTTATAGTACAGCACTGCAAATCAATTGATATTTGTGATTATTTCATGAATGTGACAGTAATTATTAGGAGCTCTTCTAAATTTCAACCCAAGAAAATAAACATAGTTTTGGTTAAGATTCAACAGACAAACTTAAATCTCAAGATTACTGAATAATAACAATAATAATAATAACAACAGTAATAATATATACTGTATTCAGTAAAATCATCATGCTTTAATAATTAAAGCACGGACTTCAGGGAAGACTAACATTATTAATAATTTTTTTTTCTGATTATTTGTGACAGTATTTTCCCATTATTATTTATTTGTACAGTATGTGTTTTGTATGTGTGAGTGTGTACACACACATATGTTTACAATACAGGTAAAGGAAATTACTGTCTGTAGAACAAATGGCTCCCTGTCCTAGCCGCAAAAAATGCCGGCAACTTTAAAACTACCCACAGACATTCTTGGGTACATCCAGGGTGTCATCCACGAATAATAGAGGACTGTGAAATAAAAATACGTGAATTTGGGGGCCACCCTGTGTATGGGGTACTACAGTTGCCCACAGGTATAGTGTTCTACCCCTCGGTGGTCTTTCCAAACATGTGGCCAACAATATATTTTTTCACTAATACAGTCAACCCTCGCTTTACGTGGTCCCACTTTACGTGTTTCCACGTTTACGCGGTACCCTGCCGAACACGGAATGCTCACTTTCCGCGGTGTGTACTCTTTTACACGGAGAGCGGCGAGAGCAGGGTGCGCACAAGGTCGCCCAGTCATCAAAACATTACCGAGTTCTTCACCCGCCACCCACCACAGCCGGCCCAAGTCAGTGATAGTGAGGATATGGATTTATATGGACTTTGAGGGGTTTGACAAAGAGGCCCTGCAAGCCTCTGTGGTGGATAGTGATACAATTGATACAGGTGAGGGCCAATAATCTGCCCTCTGCCTCGGAACCAACCCCCCATCCCCGTGTGCCCAGCCATCTTTTCTACTCAAGTGTTAAAAAACCTAATATTATTGATATTTCTCTTAATTATTAATTGTGTGTGCATCCCATCATAAAATAAAGAAGTTATTTTTGCTACAACGTAGGTATTGTGTCTGAAAAAGTGGAGTTTGGGGGTCGGCCCGGTCTCTATTTCAATTAATCCCATATGTTATGTTGTTCACTTTACGCGGGCCGCCTTGGGTTCAATTGACCGCGTAAAGTGAGGGTTCACTGTATTTGTACTAGAGATTTGTGCAGTGATACGATAGATGTAATATCTGTAAAGAAGTTTTGACTAAGTTTCTGACATTAATAATAATAATAATGGTTGCCCCTCATGTAAGGAGGATGGCCGGCCCAAGGGCCACCTAGGCCTGTAGCCAACACAACAACCACACCCTAAGTTATTGAGCTGCATGACCCAGTGTCAAGGATAGTCCGAGAAGACCGGACAACTCACCAACTGCACTGGCAAACCATTACCCTGGAACATGATTTGCAAATCGATTAACATCTAGGTTCCCAATTACTGCTGGGTAAACAGAGGCAAATGGCATAAAGAAACTTACCCATAGTTTCACCCTGCCCAGGGATCGAACCCGGGTCAAAAAGCTTGCGAGGCAAGCATGCTGACCATTACACCACAGGTATACGACATTGCCACACATTTGGAAAGGCCGCCGAGGGGTAAAACACTATACTGTACCTGTGGGCAACTATACATAGACCATAGAGGTATACAGTTTCCAATGTACCTAGACAGTGTAGGTATACAACAAAAGTAAACAGCCATCAGATACTTATCAGTGTTTCCAGTAGGGCCAATTGCCATAAACAGAATGAGTGAAGTAAATAATCAATCTTTCATATGGTGAAAGTGAAATTAGGTCCACAAGTCTTGACAAGTCTGTTACAGCCAGTGCATAGTTATACCCTGTACCTGTACAGGGTTGTGTTCTGATCTCACTAGAGGAAAGGTCACGGCAGGCATAGCTCCCGGGGATTAATTGTCAGTAATGGCTAGTGCTACTTGTGAACAGGGCTGAGCCCTACAGAGGGCCGAATTGGAGAGGGCCAAGGAAGAAATCTTGAAATTAAAAAAGTGATAGCAAGGATGAAGGAAGAAACGAGACAAGGAAAGCCCGTGTCTGACGAAAACTAAGGCGAATGGAAGGTTGTGAGGAGAGGGACGACCAAACTGGTGGTGAAAAAACACACCAAGGATACAACAACAGCTAAGTGTACCAACTCTTTCAGTCGTTTAATAGACGAATTGGACGTTAGCATAGTCAGGGACAAGGCTGACAAGGAAGGTACGAAAACCTTAATTGTTGGCGATTCCCAGGTACAGTACCTGGACAGTTTTTTGTGGTAAAAATAAAAATAGGATGAGGGTGTGTTTGCCAGGAGCTGGGGTGGGGGATATAGTTGACAGGATGGAAAATATCTTGTCTGGTAATGGGAACAAACCCATAATCTGCCTCAGTGCAGGAGGCAATGATATTGGCCGGTGTAGGAGTGAGGAGCTTCTTGATAAGTTCAAGGCAGCTATAGAACGTATTAGGTCGAAGGAAGGGATCCCTATCATATGTGGTGTCCTGCCTAGAAGGAGAGTTGGCAATGAATGGTTGTCAAGGGCAGTTGGTGTCAACGGCTGTCTGACAGACATTGCAAGTCAATATCAGTCCCATTCATTGACAACTGGGACAACTTCTACGGCAGATGGGACCTTTATGCTAGGGATGGGGTGCATCTGTCTAGCAGGGCTGTGGAGTCGGAGTCGGAGTAAATTTCGGCTTGTGGAGTCGGAGTCGGTAAAATTGTCCAGACTCCGACTCCGACTGAAGCTATTCTGTTCCTAAGTACAAATATATGAACTCAGGCATATTCATTGCAGTGATTCCACTGATCCCACTAATTTTCTTAAATTATTAAAAGAATTTATTTCCATTTTATAAGCATTATTATGAATTTATTGTAGCAGGCACAGTATAGCACTATAATTTTGGACGATAGTCTCTTCTTTACCATTTGAAATTTTGAATTATATCAAATTTTGTTTCGTTGAAAACTGCACAGAGGCTCTCAGCTACAAAACAATTAGCTACAACCTGTTTTTGGTGAGATTAAGGCAAATTTAATTTAATAACTTAATCATGTAAGGTTTATCCATTTTCCTTAATAAGGTATTCATTTCTTTAATGTACATAAATATATAACTTTACTTTAAAAGGAATTGTAGGATCATCATTTAGATCCACATCAGATTATGAGCTTAAACAAAATTCATATGCTGAGATCGAACTTTTAGATATACATGTAAATGGTGTTTTCTAGTTAATATCTTGAATTCTTAATATATTTATTTTTCTTTTGATTGAAACTTTGAAAGTCAAGCCTATCATCTTTTTGTAGTTCTTAAATATCGTCCAGATCATTAATAAAGCTGTAGCAGTATAGCCACGGTGTTTTACTTTTTACCTACGCAGGTTACAACATACAAATTACAATTAGGATGGTAGAAATAGTTGTTACAAATAGGCCAAGGAGTCGGAGTCGGAAGCATAAAAATTTGAGGAGTCGGAGTCGAAGGTTTTGTCTTCGACTCCACAGCCCTGCTGTCTAGGGAGGGGGTGGCAACCCTGGCTGGGTCTCTCGAGAGAGCAGTTCAAAAGATGTCGAAGTCTTTAAACGGCTAGGGGAACATATGAGCACAGGGGTGGAAGAGACTGCAGTGGGAGCAGGTAAACAAAGTGAAAGGTGACAGAGAAATAGTGCTAGGAATTATGACAAAACTAAATTAGGCAGGGAGTTAAAACCTAAACGCGACAAAGAGAGGACTCGGAACACAACTAACTTAAATGTCTACTACGCAAACAGTAGAATTATGAGAAACAAAATGAATGAAATCAGGGCGTTGGTATGTACCGAAAAAATCGATAAAATAGCAATCACCGAAACATGGATAAATTTAGACTCAAGTGAGTTACCTGTCGAATACCAAATTGCAGGTTACAAATCATTCCAATCCGATAGGCAGATTAGGAAAGGAGGCGGAGTAGCAATCTATGTTAGGGATAATCTGAAGTGTGAAATAAATAAGGAAATAAAAACTCAGCGGAATACAGAAACAATTTGGATAGAATTAATCGATGCTAGAGAAAAATTAATCACAGGAGTTAATGAGTGACTTATTTGGGATGAAATGCGCAGGGCTTCCATACATAGCAAAGTCTGTATAGTAGGCGACTTTAACTTTAGCCAAATAGATTGGATTAACCTTACGGGTAACTTGGAATCAGAGGATTTTCTTGAAACAATCCAGGACTGTTTCCTAAGCCAATATATAACCGAACCCACCCGGAGTAATAATATACTCGATTTAGTTCTGTCAAACAGAGAAAACCTCATTAGTAATGTCGAGGTAGGGAACGAACTTGCTAACAGCAATCACAAAGAAATTAGATTCCAGTTAGAATTTCAGAGCAGACGCAAGGAAAATTCCACTTAAATCCCAGATTTCAGAAGGGCAAACTTTGATAGTTTGAAGAGGCAGCCGAGAGAAGGGGTATCAAGCTTGGGGGTGAATTACATGACCTCACATGAGGTGACCTCACACAATGTACCCACAGAGGGCAACTTCACCTTACCTGGAGACCTGACGGTTGAGGATGACCTGATAACGAGATATTAAG